GAGTCTGTTCTGAAATATTCATTAGTTGTGCCAATAAATCATTGAATGATGTTACCGCTGGTAACTCAGCCATTTTTCTCGGATCACCGATACGGGCACACATAGATTTGTAGTTGAAAGACTTCAGTACATCTGTACACAAAGAAAAAAACACTGAAATTTTGAAAATTTTGCAAAATTACCAAGAAAATTTCCAAAGAAAATAGTACATGAATAAAGATAAAACAAATGGGGATATAAACAAGTGTGAATTACACAGAAGATTGAGGGATAAAAAGAGACGGCGACAGGGGGAGAGGGGGCTTTACGTTGAAAATTTTGAATATTTTTTAAAAAAAGGCGAAATTCCAATCTAAATGTGTCCAAAAAAAAAAACGAAGTCCTAGAACTCCCGGGTTTCCGAGCAGTTTAGAGAAGTCTACTTTTGTAAAATGGCCAATCCCTCTATGATTAGCTTATTTCTTTCGATTTTAAAACTTTGTTATATTTTAAAACTTTGTTATAAAATTTGCAAAACTTTCTTATAAAAAAATTTTTTTTTACAGATACACAGTTTACCAAAAAAAAAAAATTACAAAACGCTTTAACACAAATTTTTTTAAAAAAAGTCAAATTTTCGATGAAATTTCACAAAAAAGTAAGAAAAATGATCGAACTAATTTTTTTCTTTTTACAAAAATTCGGGGACGAAATTTGCTGTGGAAAAAAGTACAAGAAAACGAGTTTTCTTCAAAATTACACTACAAATGTTTCGAAAAGCGAACATTTATTACATGCGGGTATGATGCCAAACAGGGTGCGGGAGGGGGGAGGGGATGATTGCCAGAGAGGGGGAAACAACAAGAAAAGCGGGTTGGGGGAGGGGGAGGGGAGGGGATGGTTGAGCAACAAGAATTACGACGACGACGGCCTTTTGATGGTGCTTGCGATTAGCATCCCATCGATTAGCCTTTACGGCTAGCTCTGTTAGCCTCTTAGCAGCTGCTACTGCTGCTGTACCATCTTCCAAGGCCAAACGAGCGAGCTGCACATCCCCCTCAATTCACATAGATCCCCTAAGGAGTCAG